AGTACAAAAATACACTAAGATCGTATATTGATGTAAGCACATGTTAGTCAGCTATTATTATTCACATTCCATATATTGGGTCTTTTATTGTCTAGTTTGTATAAAAACTCAAAATTTAAATAATTAGTACAGTTTATAATTATAGATCAAGTAAATTCTATCTAAGAATGWATTTTGATAATTTATAGACYAGAGTTCTTAATAGAAAGAAGAAAGTGATTTTACATAACATCCMACATGGACGAAAAGTCATTTATTTCCTTGTATTTGCATGCRCACCCGAATGAGTATCGGGATATATGTCCGCGCGGACAAGAGGGTAGCGAGGGAGAGGTGGTTAGGTAAGTCATAGATGCTTATGAGGGAGGGGTAGCAGGATTAGTTGTGACGTCATCACAAATTTTAACGTAATTACACTGGAAGCCCAACTATCACKGAAAATTACRAWTGTATCCKAAGAATAACGAAAAYGTACYGGGGTWAATRCGGGCCAGTCACGAAATYATCCCGAASTACAGCCACACCCACTTACAAGGCGGCAGCGTAGTGCCTTGAGCCTCGTTCCGAGGCACTAGACACAAAAACTATAGGGAAACAATTCTCAAGTAACAAATCACGCGCTGCAAAAAGCAAAAAAAAAAATAATAATAAAATAAACGAACACACACACGCGGTACGCCTCTCTGCGAAAGATCGCAAGAAACTTTCAAAAAACTCAGCAAACCAAACTAGAAGCCACAGTCTACAAACCCAAACCAGAAAATCATCACAAAAGAAAGCATAGAGAACGTCTAAATAAGCTGGCATGTTTTTATATTATCATGAGCGTAAAATGACTTTTATTTACCTCCAAAACATAATATGAACCTCCAAAACATGTCATTTTAGTGAAAATAACATATTCGAGGTTTCTCTACATAGTGGAAGTAAGAAAAAAGCTATTTTAAGACATTATTTGCTTTCACTGCATACAATTATATAATAAATAGTATATTACATGTTCGCTTTACGCGAACGAGTGAGAGATTTTCAACACGAGAAGATAAAATTCGTATCTCCGCACGCCCATGTAATAACCTCTATTTATTATATACATACTGAGATTTACGCACCAAAAATTCATCGGATAAAAATCGTCCCTTCACAAGTTAGAATGCTCCTTATTGATCGTACGATTTTTTTCACTAGTGAAGAAAATCGTGTCGGTTTTTACATAACATGAAAGCTAATTTTTGCTTTRTTAAAAAACAAAATATGGCTACGGACTGATATGAGTCTCTCGATAAATCTGAGCCGAATTCACTACATTCTTTGATGGCGAGCTTTGAGAGATATTTGAAAASGAAAAACTATCACGGATTCTGCCTCTGAAACACTCAGTTYGATCGAGCAAATTCGCCGGCTTTGTAGTAGCAGTCAAAGCAAAAGAATTAAAGCGTAAGGGAAAAGGAAACACCTCTAATGGCCTCAGATGCTTTAAGTGAAGAAGATATAAAAGTTCTTTATGAAAAAAGCTGCTAGGAAATGAAACAGTGCTGACACACCAGAAGCTCTTGTGAATGCTGTATACAAAAGGCGTCATGGTATGCAGACATGACTTTTGGAGCTCTGTCTTTCTTTTATATTTTTTTCCTTTTTGGAAGCTTCCTTGACAAACCAGCTAGTCTTCCTGGTTATGGGAATRTTCAGAGATGCCATGGAGAAGGTTTCTTCGCAACCTCAGAAGACCAAAAAGCTTCGGAGAAGTATTTTCTGTTCAAGGAGTTTGATTTTGTTTCCAGCAAATATATTTGCAATTCAAATACGACTGGCCGTATTCTACACTTCGATGACTCTATTGTTATTACCATTATGCGATATAACAACATCCAAAGATCCATTGTTTGGTATCGCCCTCTGTTCATCATCACTGGACTAAGACGGAAATTTTCAAAGAGCCGTATCTCTTATTACTCTAACTCCTACATTTAAAGACAAAGACAGGACCAGAGGACTGGTAACGAGCATGATTGGCTAGCATTTGAAACGTTGCGTAAGGATGTCAAACAGGCTTTAAGGAAAGCAGAACAAGACTTTTTTAACAAGGAAATAGCTGAGAACAAAGGAAACAGTGGCGCAATTTGGAAAACCATCCGTCGAGCACTACCAGAGAA